TAAGGTCCAAACACAACTATGATACCCGTATCAAATACATCACCATGGAATATCCATTTATTGTTCATTTCATTTTTAGCCATCAGGGAAAATGTGTATGTATTCTTTTTCCTTGTAGTTTATCAAGGATATCTTTCTATCTTAATCAGTGTGATATCCAGTAAAGATTATTTGAAGATACTCCCTCGTAAGTACATCTTCTCTGTTTAGTGTATCCTGCTTTGGCCAGGTATTACCCTTGAGGCCTGATCAATACTGTAACAGGCAAACAACTGACTATGGAGATCTGAGTAGTCATAAGAGGTGACGAACGGGATCGGGTGGTCAGGATTGCTTACTTGGTTGATGCATGTCATCGTGTCCCAATTGCGACGTCCGATGCTCATGATATCAGTCACTGGATCGTCTGGTCCAGACTAAATTATTTACAGACAACATCATGCAGCTGGAATATTGCTGGGTGCAATGTTAAACAACAAAGTTGGGTTTTTTAAAAAACAATACAACACTATTTGGTGTCAAATGTTTTTTTGATCACTGCAGCGCATTTGTTTTCAGTCCATCCCTATAATAATGAACTGCCAGTCAAAAGAAAGTATACTCCCATGTTCAATGGTGGCTAAAATAAAACAAACAAGTGGTCATTTGATGGTAACATATTTGGTGCTGGTGTTTGGACCTTAAGTCTGCAGAGTTTTGGCAACTGTTTTAGGCCTAGCAATGTTTTGATAATGACTTTAATTTTTTGGTCAAATCCATTTTTCAAGTGTAGCCGTATACTTTCTTTTGCTCAGCAGCATATTTTATCAGAGAAATAAAACTGAGTAGCTTAAGAAAGGTTACCAAACTTGTTTAGAGTATTTCTTTTCAAATCCTTTTCCTCAATGTGCACTTTTTACAGTAAATACTGTAGTTTATCTGTGCCTGTACTCGATGATCTATACAGTAACTGCAGGCCTGGGACATGAAGAAACTTGTGGTTATCAAGCCGGCAGCGCCCCCCCCCCCCCCCCCCCCCTCCCCATCTTGACCAGGAAGTGTATGCTTTAGCAGGACTTATCACAAAGCTTCCATGGCACCCTATCTCTGAGCATACACTAGTAGTAAGGTGTTGCAGATACAAATAGGATTAAACTTGCTATATCAATCTGCCAACTCCCAAAAAGTGAAAAGTGACAAAAAATAAAAAATGAAAAACAATGGGGTTTTTAAAATTTCACTAACTATAAATACGTACAATATTAAAAGAACTGTCTCATTTACTGTTGCTTTCAATATAAATATATTATCATAAACAAAAATTAAAGTGTAGAAAGTTTATCTTAAAAAAACACAAAAAATTATGATGAATCTCTCCTGCCTCAACTGTCTTTTCCTTCAGTTTTCCCCAACCAGCTAACAATTTGAGGGAATAAAAAAAAGAGTAGAAATTGGAGTTTTTTACTTCTTTTCTGACCTACTGACCTGACTTTTGGGGCCAAAAATGTGTAAACCAACAACCCCCAAAATGTCTGCCTTAATATGAACCTAAGCCCCACCCCTATAATCTACACCTATACTACTTTATGTCCACTGAGATTGATGAAGCCAAGGTGTATGCTGACAGATGCATGCGATGCTGATCGTAGCCAGGAAGCCAATGGTGTTTCACCGATTTACATTCATATTTATACTCCAGATTTACATTCATATTTATACTTCTGATTTACATTATTATTTATTTATACTTCAGTTTTACATTCATATTTATACTTCAGATTTACATTCATATTCATACTTCAGATTTACATTCATATTTATACTTCTGATTTACATTTATATTTATTTATACTTCAGATTTACATTCATATTTATACTTCAGATTTACATTCATATTCATACTTCAGATTTACATTCATATTTATACTTCAGATTTACATTCATATTTATACTTCAGATTTACATTTATATTTATGCTTCAGATTTACATTTATATCTATGCTTCAGATTTACATTCATATTTATACTTCAGATTTACATTCATATTTATACTCCAGATTTACATTCATATTTATACTTCTGATTTACATTTATATTTATTTATACTTCAGATTTATATTCATATTTATACTTCAGATTTACATTCATATTCATACTTCAGATTTACATTCATATTTATACCTCAGATTTATATTCATATTTATTTCAAAATTTAATGTGCAAATGCACTCACTGAACATTTCAAAAACATTTTATAATAAACATTGTAAGTTGAATAATATATTTTGATAAATGTATTTATACATTCAAACATATTATGATGAAACATTTTGATCTAATTATCATAGACTGATATTAAAAATACAATAAAACATGGAAGAGTCAGGAACAGTTTGTTTTTCCTGTACATGAATCTAACAGTGCTATCTCACTAGGAGACATGAAACATGTGTTGATAACTCCATTATTACACACAATAAAGAAGTTGTTATACACACACACACACAAAATGTTTAATGTCTTCATGTGCCACCAAGTTTGTAATGCCTATCACATACTGTACTTTGTGTAAGATGACACTCGTTGACTATGACAGACTGACAATCACCCAGCCATACTGCATATTTAACAGGTTCAATATTTCACTCTGCACACAAAACTCAATTATAACTGAAAAAACACACTGTTTTTACACAATCAAATAACATGGACTTGCTGATCAAAATGTATTAATATATTTTGCCACACTTCTTTATAAACTTGTTTTACGAATCTGTCAACTTAAAAATATGAAATGTGAATAATGGAAAAAAATGAAAAGCAGTGTTTAACATGTTAAAAATCCACCTCATGTACTGTTGCTACCAAAATAAATAAATTATTTAAAATAATATAACTAAAACGTGTTGAAAATGTATCTTAAAAAACTCCCACCCCCCACTTTTTCACCCTACTTACTTAACATATTTTGGAAAAAAATAAAAACATATTTGAAAAAAGAAATTAGACCTACCAACCACCTGTGCCACCCCCACCCACCACTCTAACATGTCCATGTTGCTATGCAGCTAAAAAAACCTAGACACATGACAATTAATTCAATGAAAAAATAATGATTTAATCCAGAAGAAGGAATTAAATTCTGTTTGTTAAAAATCTGATTTAAATCTAACATTTAACAATGCCCGTCAACAAGTTAATTAAAATGACAGAAATTCTGCCCATACTGAAAGGGTTGTGTCAGTAGGCTATCACATTTTGTCTTGTATAACATTTTACATTGTCATGTATGACCCCGTCTGAGAATGCACAGACCAAGCTGGCTGTATACTTGTGAAAACGGCACTCCCTTCAATGAGATTAACACTCTCCATCTACTTGGGCTATGTCAATAAGCCTCCAGAACAGGCAGTTAATGAACTGTGAACAATAGGCTATTCTTTCCTCATGAATAAGCCCTTTCAGAGAGCTGTGCGACACCTCAGCATAACACAAGGTGCCTTTAAACCTAACAAAAGTTAGTTTTCGGTTGGTTATCTCAATTATTGTGCAAACTAATCAATAATGTCATATATAATATTTAACAGGATTATAAAACATCATAAACTAACAAACCTTAATTATTTACATAATTATACACCCAAGGAGTGGAGAATGAAAGTTGAGTGCAGTGATCACTGCCCAGCTTAATAAAGCAGAAGCATGCCTTGAAGCGTGGATTTGGCTTGTTATAAATATGCACATTATTAATATTTACATCAGACTGAATATAAACAATTTCAGATAATAATGTAATATAATGTCTATAGAATATGCATGTTATATTTCATGTGTAAAAATATCAGCTTAAGGTATAAATCCTCTCACTATAGCAAATCAAAGACACCCTATTGGGAGTGACATAATTCAAGTGTTTTCGTGCTATCTCTCCGACCTCGGCAAAATGGCAACCGTATTGACACATAACTGCTCCCATCAACCAAACAACAAGACCAAAAATATTTCGACATCAAAGAATTCCATTTTATAACAGCTCATTCCATTGTAAAACTGAGTTTAACATTGCTGTGAATAGTGCTAATATCAACACTCTACGACAGGGCCTGAACACACACACACCTCCAACCAGACAGACGTTTCTCTCACATGTACCATCGATTTTCCCCGTCAACTTCGGGTCGTCACAACGATACTAAAACCATGACATATATTATATTTAAGGGTAACAGTCAGAATATCTCATCCTTGAGATATATAATCCTTATGTTTAAACCATATATCACCTCTTCAACCTGAAAATGCGACACATCGTTTTTTTTCTAACCTGTCACTTCACAATCTGTCTTAAAATGTAGAACATTGTAACACACGATATGTGGTATATAACCTGTTATAACCCAGATATATTTCTCTCTTATATATATATCCTATAGATACGGCAATATTGTTGTCAAATACCTTGTAGCTATAATTCTCGCTGCTTGTAAATCTGAAGCTATCGTTCAAGTGACTTTTACAATACCTCGACAAGATTGAACTTCGTTTAGAAGGAAAACTTGGCGTTGTTTCGTCCTGAAGTAGTAAGCATCGCTGTTGCATATTTCTAAATGACCCAAGTGAAACTTCACCACAATCAAAGTTTTATCGACAAAACTCGTCAATGAGAGGTTAACGTTGATAAGAATACAGCTTTGGCCATGGTATCGGCATACCTGCCTAGGTAGATTTGTTGATCGAGGTTTGCTCGGCAAACTAAAGGAAACGTACACCACACAACCGAACTACTGACTCACTCAGCATCGCTTCTTGCGATTACAGAAACTTTCAGCTGCTAGACTTAAAGTTGGTAGGCGGTGAGAATTAGGTAGATTGGCACCGCCTTTCCCATACACCGACAACGATGTCGCCACAATGACCATATCGATACTCAAAATAACGCAAGCACTTTCAAAAATGTACCAATGAATGATCGATTGTACATGAGGGCGTTACATGAATTCGGTGAGATGTTATAGACCTACCCTCGTCCAACGATCATGCGAAGAGCCTCCAGCATTCCTCTACTGGCGGCCCAGTGTGTTGCCGTCATACCGTCTTCATCAATAGCGTTAAGATCCTTCCTTTGGGCCTCCCGTAGCACATCGGTAAAACCGTCCTTAGCAGCTTCAATATATCTAGAAGACATTTTCCTTGGTTTTAAAACACAAATCACAACTTTCCAAAGAACATTCCCAAACTGTCATTAAGACAGGAGAAGTATCGGCAAGGCGACCGGGTCGCGCGCTGTCGTACGGACTTTGAAGCAGTCAGTGGATACCTGCCGTGTGCCTCATGAATATTCATAATGACGTCACCGCAATAGGTGCAATGGCGCTCTCTCGTCAAGGTATGACCGCCCATTCTTATCTCGCCTTTGCACGTGTGTTTGTAAAGAAAAGTTGAATTAATGTCCAAGGTAGTTAGATTAAGTTACAGGGTGTTTTCTTGGCTATTAATACCGATTGGTTGACGTGACAGCTGATACGATGTAAGCTGGTTCAATCGGATTAGCCAAATCCCTTTATCACACAGACAGACATACTAATATGTACAGTCGGACCTTCGACTCGAATATGTCCAACTGAGTTAAATATAAATAATTCAGATATGCTACTGTAAATATATTTCACTGATCAATAATATTTTTCGCTCTTTTTTTCTTCATGCATATTCGGCCCTATACACTGAGCGAGTTTGCAGCCTTAATGGTTTTGGACGCATATAATTCGATTTTGGCCATTTGTCGATCTAAATCTTTTGTTGCACAGGGGATATGTATAAATTCGCCTTTATCCTGTTCTGGAAAGCAACAACGAAAGTCTCTTTATTTCATGAAAGCGACTGAGAGTGGAGAAAGTACCTGGCAGTAGAGCACAGGGAGTTGGGTTATGTTTCACACAGTGGAAAGGCTTTATGAAACATGCTATTGTTAGGTCGTGATGTGTCGGTGTGTTCAGGTACGCCGGATCACATTCATGATTGTAAGAAATTAAAGAAATGCCAATCAACATATCCTGAAATGTTCGCACGTCATGCATTGTGGACATTAATGGAATAGCTGTACGAGTTAACTATCACAAGTAACGCGTATCGATCCAGGGGTGTGTGTAGGGGTGGGGGTGGGGTGTGAGAGGGGCAGGGCAGTGGTGTATGTTACACACGTTTATATTATCATCAACACGAACACGTTTGTTGTTATTTTGTTCTTGATAAAAGTAAATGTAATAATGAAAAATCATTAACGAGAAACAGAAAGTGTCCCCAGAAAACCCCATATGTCAATCACAACTGACAAAATGATGGTCGAGTTGGCACTATACGGATCACATTGATGGATGTGTGTCATTGTGTACTGAGAGGGATTCACGGGTTTTCAAAAACAAACATTTTATTATTTCAACACAATTTTCTAACCGACTGTTAGTGACATAATACATTAAGAAGCCGTGATTTTAGTTGCCAATTTGTTTACTTTAACCAAAGTTGGACTTTTTAAAAATAAATAAATTCGGGTCTGATTTTTCCACATGGAAATAATCTCAAACATAAATTGTCGCTTCGTTCAAACTTTGTCTGACACCAGTCAACTATAATCACCAGCTGCAGCAATTCCACCTCTTCATCTACATCTCTGAAATCAATAAAAAAAATCGAAATTCAATCGTCTTAACCGCTAAGCGTTGCCTGTTTGACGAGCGCTAATAGCGAATATCTTTCTTAATTGAAGTAGAAGATATTCGAATCGATAGCTACAACAATTTACACACTTAGTCCCATTTTGTTTTTGCCTTGTTCAGCGCAGTTCTAATCGGTGGACAGTCAAGACTTCCTAGTACAAGGCCTTGCACTCGGACCGAATTGTGTTTCCAGACATTACGTCGTGAACAGGTTATGGTTCAACACTCACAGCGAGGTCACTTCCGGGTTAGTGAGTTGTCGGGGCAACACGTGGCACTACACATTGTGCTTGGAGGGACAAAAAAACATGCTGAAGAAGTGAAAATACTGTTTATGGAAATGACATGATGATGGTGATGATGATGATGATGATGATGATGATGATGACAATTGATGATGATGTCTAGTTTATCGAGAACAAACTGACTTGTGGACAAGGACATGCATATTTTATAAGTCTGTTGTATTCATATATTGCAAAATGCCAGATATAATACATAAACACTCTTCCTAAATCTGCACGTATGTTCTAACTGGCTTCTTATCTTATAATTTGTCATGTATGGTTTTCGCCCAAAGCGAATAAAGCTGAAAACAGGATTTGCAAACATTATCAAAACGTTTCTAGGCTGAAAACAGCCCAGAAACACTGAAAACTTCAGACCCAAAACACAACTAAGATACCCGTCCAGACTCGATTATGTACAGACCGCTGTCATATAGCAGGAATGTTGCTGAGTGCGTTAAACCAACCAACAAACAACATCATCATCGAATAACTATTTCTTGTTTGTTTCACTATAAGCCACCATCGAACATGTGAATATACTGTCTTTTGCCCCACAGTTTATATACATTTACAAATTTGATTAATAATACATAATATTGTGTACATTTGTTATACGCTTATTCCACACAAGGTGCATGCTCACAGCGCTACATTAACGAGGGGGAAACTGCCGATACTAGGTCATAGATACAGGGCCAAAGATGTGGCAGTTTGTGTTGATTCTAAATTTGATAAAGAGTCTGAACAGGAATGTCTTGCGACGGGACTGAAATATTGGCAGAGATTCTGCTTCCTTCACATGTGATGGGAGATCGTTCCATAGAACTGCAGCATTGTTAGCAAATGACCTCTGCCCAAACCTCGTCAGTGTTGTCTTTAGTATACACAGGAGAGGTTTATCACCAGAACGGAGGGCCCTGGGTGGTTCATATACCTGGCCAAGGTCAGATAAGTGAGTGAGAATACGGTTTTACGCCGCTTTTAGCAATATTCCAGCAATATCACGGCGGGGGACACCAGAATGGACTTCACACATTGTACCCACGCCATGAAAAGAAACCCGGGTCTTCGGCGTGACGAGCGAACGCTTTAACCACTGGGCTACCCGACCGCCCCGTCAGATAAATGGGAAGGTGATGACTTGAAGGAACCCATGCATGTATGTAATGGGTAAGGTTGCCCCAAATCGTGGAGGAATACATGCGTTATTATTACAAACGTTTCTCCATTTCTTATCATAAAGACAAAAAACGCTGGTAATCTTGAGATTACGAAGGGCAAATAGCAGATTAATTGGAAAACATTCCAACCCTCTGTTGACATGAAGATTTGATTACAGCAACACAACTAGCGACTGTTATTTGTTATACATGTAAACAATGTGACTAAACTGAGCCAGACATATGGCGATATTCTTTTCTCATTCACTCAGTAAGATATAAATTATATGATAGTTGACAGGGCAGTACGAATGTTCTTATTCATCGCCCATTGTGTACTCACTGAGTCGAATCTATTAATATACCTGCACTTTCGTGTGTTTAATGTTTCATCAATCGATAAGATGATCTGATCAAGCTTAATGCCAATGTGGGGAGATTTACGATTGGGGTACTGAGATACGTACTGACCTATATGTAACAGAAATATCTCTTAAGTACCATGCTAAATAACGCCAGCCAAAGCCATAGACAAGTCACGTGTACCCTCGAGCTAAAGTCCTGGCCCCGATTTTCTGAAGCTATTTTGACCCGACCACAACAGCAGATCTTTCAAGTGGCTCCTGGTTCAAATCTGACCCCTAATAGAGGATTTACGGTAAACGTTCTCCAATCTCTGAGCATGCACAGTGAATGGGGAGGGCAACTCGCACAAGCTAATCCGGATATTTATCGATCTGGTTTGATATATTGAAAATTGGTTTGTTGTGTGAGTGAGTGTGCGAGTGCACGATTACAACTGTAGCTAAATATTAGATTGATTGTTTGTTCACACATTTCACACATGCAGCTAATACAAACAGATGACAATCTTGTCCTTCATAATATGGGTTTATTCTTAGGACAAAGCTACAAATTAAGAACCACCTAATACCTTTTTGTCATGAATGAAATTGATATATATTATACATACATAGGTGTATGTATTTTACTCCAGCAAGCGTGATTTACCATGCTATGTTAATGTATTTTGTTAAAGTTTGTTGTTTAACGCTGCACTCAACAATATTCCATCTATTTGACGGCGGTCAGTAAACATTCGAATCTGAACCAGACAATCCATTGATCGACCTCTGAGCATCGATCCACGCAATTCGGATACGATGACATGCATCAACTCATGATCTGCCCTGCACGTTGTGTATATCTAATGATCTGTCCTGCACGTTGTGTATATCCCATGATCTGCTCGGCACGTTGTGTATATCTCATGATCTGTCCTGCACGTTGTGTATATCTCATGATCTGTCCTGCACGTTGTGTGTATCTCATGATCTGTCCTGCACGTTGTGAATATCTCATGATCTGCCAGGCACGTTGTGTATATCTCATGATCTGTCCTTCACGTTGTGGATATCTCATGATCTGTCCTGCACGTTGTGTATATCTAATGATCTGTCCTGCACGTTGTGTGTATCTCATGATCTGCCCTGCACGTTGTGTATATCTCATGATCTGTCCTGCACGTTGTGTATATCTCATGATCTGTCCTGCACGTTGTGTATATCTCATGATCTGTCCTGCACGTTGTGGATATCTCATGATCTGTCCTGCACGTTGTGTATATCTCATGATCTGTCCTGCACGTTGTGTATATCTAATGATCTGTCCTGCACGTTGTGTATATCTCATGATCTGTCCGCACGTTGTGTATATCTCATGATCTGCCCTGCACGTTGTGCATATCTCATGATCTGCCCTGCACGTTGTGGATATCTCATGATCTGCCCTGCACGTTGTGGATAGCTCATGATCTGTCCTGCACGTTGTGTATATCTCATGATCTGTCCTGCACGTTGTGTATATCTCATGATCTGTCCTGCACGTTGTGTATATCCTCATGATCTGTCCTGCATGTTGTGTGTATCTCATGATCTGTCCTGCACGTTGTGGATATCCCATGATCTGTCCTGCAAGTTGTGTATATCCTCATGATCTGCCCTGCACGTTGTGTATATCTCATGATCTGTCCTGCACGTTGTGTATATCTCATGATCTGTCCTGCACGTTGTGTATATCTCATGATCTGTCCTGCACGTTGTGGATATCTCATGATCTGTCCTGCACGTTGTGTATATCTCATGATCTGTCCC